CCGGGGAGGAAGGGCGTCGCTGTCCTCGGGCCGCCCCGCCCCCTCGGCCTGGGGCTGGCCCTGGGCGGCGGCCAGGAGCCCCCGGAGGCGGCGGGCGTGCTGGCACAGCTGCACCGTGTGGATGGTCAGGCTGCAGGGCTCCGAGGGCACGTCCAGCATGGTGGTGGGGCGCGGGCGCTGGGCGGAGGGCTGGTGCAGGGGGGGGTCCTGCACCTCCACCGAGCGGAACTCCCGCTGCAGCAGGTCGAAGGAGCTGCGGCTGGGCGGCGCTGCGGGCGCTGGGATCTCCCCCCAGTACCGCATCATCGTGCCACCTCAGCCTCGAGACACGCTAGCAACACTGCCGGACACACACACAAAACAGTAGATTCATGTTAAACGGCACTAGAATCAGACATAAGGCTTTGCTCTCTAAGGTAGGGGTTCCCAAAACGAGGTGAAAGGACTGTGGGTGGCAGAAAGTGACAGTCTAGCACAGGAGATCCCAACCTGAGTCCTCTGGGTCCAGAATCCAGCAGACTTTCTATGTCTCTCCATAAGTTCGAAAGATACTCTTCACCTGGGTGTTAAACTGACTCAATTAAGGTTTAACTGGGCTGATCTTTTCTTTCTCCACGGCCTTAAGCCTTATCGACGACCTAAAGTGGCGTTGAATATCCCTATAGATTCCAGACTCCCAGGTAAAGAGGTGAGAACCTGTGGTTTAACATGTTCCTACAAAATCGTGTTGTGAACCACAATACGATGAGAGTTAAACCAGTTGTCTTCCTTCAGGAGCTTTCTTCTAGCGAATGGTAATTGTTTAAGTATGCTTATTGAGGATCTGACGGCTGTCAAATCCTGGTCCTGGGAGCTGGTGTGTCTATAGGTTTTAAATCCACCTCAGCTCTCAACACTCTGATTACTGTGTTAACAACCATTTCCAGCTCTTCAGGTGCTGCTGCTTAAAAAAACCCACAGACACACCAGGCCTCCAGGACCAGGATGCAAGAGACAGCCCTTCCTGGAGTATTGTGCCTTCGATTACTAAAATTACTATATAGTGATGAATTTTTCTTGTATTTTAAAAATCATAAGTTCCTGAAAATTGAGAGTGTGTACAGAAGTTAAACAGCTAGTAAAGAGAGAATTACTGTCCATGTTGCCGATACACGTTAATGCGTTTAGTCCCTAAAGGATCTGCTACAGTAACGACAATGTTACTGCACTCTATGCATGCATGTAATATCTATTACGCCTATAGCGTAATTTCCGTCCCTCGAGTTAATTATGTTTTTACTTTTTTGTTTTGTTTTGTGAATTCATATCCTACAATTAAAGTTGAGGCTATAGGATTTATTCTAGAGAAGTACTATAGAGTTAGACATTAGTCTACACAACGCATCATTGTCATTTGTCCTTGGATTGGGAGTTAGGTGACGCTTAACACTATATACTATATTTTTAGTTCGTTATATATTTTTGTTTCGGCGTCTTTATTTCGGACGAAACCATACTTTTTAAGTTTACCGCAGTCTTGTGAGATTGAGGCGTGGTTTTCAACCCAGCGGACAGTGTAAAATTTGAAAAAAGAACATAAATGTTAACATAACCGTTGTAATTATAGTGTATACAAAATCGTATCCATACAATTATTGACTTGCAGTTATGATACCCTACTAAAATAAAATGTGTATTTTTGCTTACATTACAAAACTGAAACTTTTCAACCATCAGTGTTTAAACAATAAACCACACAAAACCACTCACCTTAATACGATTTCTTTAATCTTGAATGCCGAACAGACAAATTTCAAAGTGTCCAACTCTTATTTTGATTCGTATGGAAACAATTACTCATTATACAATAGTTCCTAAATTATTCGTCGTCTTCAACATTATTATGATTTCGTGATGAGATATAGTAAGCGATATATATATTGTGGCAATATGAATATTTCTAATATTATTAGTAATTTTATTACCCGTGTTTAATAAATTAAGAGAATTATAGACCAAATAAAAAAGTAATAAAAATCCATGCTAGTGTTTTCGGTGTTATTGTTCTCACAAATAAGGAACACGTAGAGGTTAATTCCACGCTGAAAACCAAAAATAATCAGTAATAATGTACAAAAATATAACCTTAAACGTTACTTATTTAAAAGTCTTCTGATGTGGAACCTTTCTTGATTAGTCTCTACTGTCCCCAAAGCGGAAGGAAATATTTTGCATTTGTACCAAGAAGCATGGCGGAAGAAGTAAATGTAACACGAACATTAGAGCAGCAGCAGCGTGAGCTTACTGAAATTGAAATGAGTGAGAAAGAAGAAAGAGAACAGCCCGATAGGGTTATTTTGGAGACGAAGGGAGGAGAAGGGACGAATGAAACCCACGCACTGGAAGATCCGTTTAAGAAACCTGACGTTTTCAAGGCGCCTTCCTTGCCTTTAAAGAAACCCGGAGCAGCTGCCCCGGTGTCCACTGTTGATGAAGAACCCGTTGTGGAAAACAGTGTGAAGTCTGTAATACCCGAAGCCACGCACACAGGTAAAGAAGGCTTGGAATCAGAAGGGGACTGCGGTACATCTGGTGATGGCATTTTAGAAAACGGCAGCGACACGACAAACGACTGCAGCCAGACAACCTCTCCGACAACCGCGAAACCCGTAAAGGATAACGCAGCCAGCGCAACAGTACGAGGTCTTGCAAGTGCGCAGGTCCTCAAAGCCAAACTCCCATCCAAAGTATCGGACGTGAAGTTTAAACCCTGCCCTCCTTTGCCATACACCGAGCCGCCCTGGGGCGGTCTGGCAGAGACATCTTACTACTTTGAAATTCTGAAAAATGGCACCATCCTTGACACGGTACCGCTCACCGAGAGGAGCTTCTTCGTGTTTGGTCGGTTACCAAACTGTGATGTGTCCCTGGAACATCCCTCCATCTCTCGCTACCACGCCGTGGTCCAGTACCGGCGGCGCGCTGGAGAGGAGGGCGTGATCGGGGAAGAGAAGGGCTTCTATGCTTTCGACCTGAGTAGTACACATGGCACCTTCGTCAACAAGAACAAGATTCCGCCCAAGACCTACATCAGGCTAAGAGTGGGCCATGTGCTCAAGTTTGGGGGCAGCACCAGGCTGTTCATCCTGCAGGTAAGCCTGCAGACACACGAGAGTGTCTGATTTCCTTTAAATCTCTTGCAAAGTTACATTATTCAAAGGTGTTGCACTCTGTGGTCTTCCATGCACAGTAAATGCTTAAATGAACTTCGGCTTCAACAACCTAGCTGATTAGTTTGATCCAGGCTCCCTGAACCCAAACTATGACTATACCTGTAACTTAGATATAGATTAAGTGTTTAATCAGGATTTTAAACTAAATGCCCTTTAATTGCATTTTCAAGTGATGGAGAATCAAGTTCCTAAATCCTTGTTAAATGTTGACTTTGCAAATAGGGAAGTTGTTAGACATAACATCAATGTGGTTCAGGTGGGTAGCTGCGTCAGCATGCTAAGGCTGCAAAGGAACAAGTAATAGGTTTGTTAAATCAATGTGTCACACTTTTTTCATGGTAATTATGAAACACATAAGCACTCACGTACAGTCCAGTGGGAATGCGATACTGCTACTTTCCACCTACAGTTTCTGTAGACTATGTACGAAAACCCTCAGTGACCTCTTTCAAATGTTGCTTTATGTATCATTAAGATAGGTACCCTTCCTGAATTCATATCTTAATAAATAAAGCATGGCAATGAATAAAGATGGGCTTTTGTTGTTTTGTTTATTCAGGTTTTTTTCTTGGTACCAAGAGCA